CTGCTTAATATTTTTGTGGAAACCATGGTACTTCTTTTTTTCAGGATTATTTGATGAATATGAAGTTCAAAATAATTTTATTTGAATTTTATTTCAAATGGAAATCTTTTTTTAACGTTATAAATGCCTTTACACTATCACTTTTGATCAAATTAATGCACCATTGCTGAATAAAAGTACCAATTTCTCTACAAGGAAAAGAAAAAGAAATAAAATCATAGTGATTCCAAACTTTTGAATAGTAGTAGTATTTAATTGCGGAAGAATGAGCGAGAAAGACATATTAGTGTTTTAGTGTTTCTCAGTCTCTAGCGTTTTGAAAGAGACTGGTCTGGCCGCTATTGGTTTTGTCTGGAACGGTGAAATCCAAGAACAGTCCTGGGCCTCATATAGCCTCATTAACATGTGGCAGGGGAAAAAAAACGGGGGAAAACCCTCCTCGCCCCTCCTTTCCTGGGGAAGCGGCTCAGTTGAGGGAAAGATCGAATGAGGGAGTGAAAGAACGAGGGCAATGGGCACAGATGAAGTGTTAATAGTGGCCATGACAGATGGGTTGCAGAGGGACCAGCCTTTCCTCATGAACGCCCATCAAAGACTTCGTCAGCTTGAGCTTTCAGCCTCTGACACAAATGAACCTTGTGGTGAGCGATCACAGCCCACAGGCTACTCCCCAGCTAACAGCGTCTACAGACTCCCTCTTACAGATAAAGGAGTGTGAGAAATAGTGCTGAGGTTGAGGTTTCCTCTAAATTGGTTTCAGCAAGTTTATGATTTCATCTGGCAAAGGACTTTCTAATGTGACCCAGATACGTAAATAAATATGGTGCTGTGCTCTTCAATATTACAAAACAACAAACGGTGTCTTAACCAGATGCAAGGTGTGAAATTTACAGCAATGTGACACATCAGGGTCAATCAATTCAATTCAATTCAAGTTTATTTGTATAGTGCTTTTCACGATACAAATCGTTGCAAAGCAACTTTACAGCAAATTAAGTTTGTACAATATTTAGTGGTAGCTTATCAGTGGTGACTGTCAGTCAATGTACATATGGCAGAAATGTACGGAAAAATCAATTAAAGATGTAATCAAACAGACGATGAACACTATTAACAGCAATTATTATATGATGCAATCAAACTTATAGCAAAATGTGGTAGTTCTGTATGTTGTTTCAGGGTTGGCATCATCTCTTCTCAGGTGTTCTCTCAAATCCATCTCTCACGGGCTGGGGGGTGGTGTTCGAGGGCAGAACAGTGAGAGGAGTTTGGTCTCCTGCACTGAGAGAGAAGCACATACATTTTCTAGAACTACTAACAGTGTTACTAGCTCTGAGACATTTTGTGCATTTTCTCAAGAATCATCATGTATTGGTCAGGACAGACAATTCAACGGTGATA